AAACTGGACAATAGTTTTTATTTCCAAAATTACATTTTGACCACAGTATTATAATTTTTTTCCAAAAGTTAAGTATTTTTTTTTATAATTACATTAGTTAATTCAATATATAAAGACTAAACATTGGAGTCAATACACAGATACAGAGATTTTTTTTTTTCCCAAGTTAGACATGGAGGCTAAGAATAATAGACAGGTAAAAAAAACATGGTACTTTGCATTCTGAGTATAAGTACGTCAGAGACTTCTTAAATTTCCTGAATGTTTCTAAAATGCCTTCAGGAAATGGAGATCGTATCATCCAAAGCCTGTGCTCTCCCTGCAGAGACTGTCCGACTACTGTGCACCATTTCTATATACCATAAACTAGATATCTTCTAAGACTCACTAATCTGATAAAGTAAAAAAATGCACTGAAGTTTAATCCAGTAAACATATCTCCGAGGAAAGATCAGCACGAAATAAAGCAGTTTAGGGATTCTGTGCTCAGTGCAAATGTAAACAGGATTATGACTGTCAGACACACAGAGGGCCTGACTTCGGCCATTACTTAGCTCTGGCTTCTGAGAAAAACCCTGGCTGCTGCGTCAGTCCCCCACCCCTGCTCCCTGCAGCAGCAGGCTTCCTCGGCCACCGCCAAGCAGGGATGGATGGAAATGACAGGCAAAGGGCATTAGCTGCTTCTTTCTCCCAGCCTGTCTTCCCCTAAACGGAAGGCAGCAAGTTCTCAAGGCACCCAAGCTGCAGTCAGTGCTAACAAACGCATAACCCAATTCTCCAGGCAAGAACGTTCCACAATTGGGTTATTTACTACTTTCCAAGAAACTCTGAAAAAAATCCAGGTCCAATATTGGTTAGGATGAAATACTCTAAGGTTAAGAGTCCGGCCTAACTGCCCATTCTTTTTCAGCCAGAAGAATGAATCTTCAGAGGAAGCACTCTGCAGCCTCCCTCTCCCCCCGGCCTGATCCTCGCACTGTTCTCTAACCCAGGGCCTGATTCTATGCTAGCTGTAAAAAAAATCCCTCAGGTTTACACACAACATTCTTCGTTCACCCAACTTGTATAAGTGGGTAACGTAAATTTCCAAGCTAGTGCTCGCACTGGTTTTGAGGAAGGAGACTTAGGCTGCACTCCATTTTTAAACTGCCAGCGGTGAGCAAGCAAGCCTAGGATGGAACAGAAGGTAATCCGGCTGCCTCCTGGACCGTAAACGTTCACATCTCAAACACCGGTCGAGTAGCTGCTCTGACCCGACTCGGTTGTTAAAGGAACCGGGACGACTATTTTAAATACGTACATATTTTAGTTCAGTTATAAAGGCACGCGCAACTGAATACATTTCTGGATGTTCCCACCGTAATGACAGAAAACCTTCTGCCCAGAGAGGTCCGAGGGTTCGACATTACCCACAATCCAAAGGGGGAACCACCCTCCGTGCCCGCCTTCCCAACGCTGAGTTCTGGGCAGAAGCGCGCCGATACCGGCACTGCCTAAAGCAAACAAACAAGATGTTTAACAGTCAGATAAGAGGTCCCGCAGTCTCCCTAATGAATTTGTCAAGGACCATCAGATTTCACTCCCCTCCTCTGCCTCATTAACTCAAGTATGATGAGATGGATTATAACAGGAGAACACGGATCAATCGGTCCGACTCCAAGTGGCTTTCAGCCTCCGGAGTCGCCTTCTCTCCCGAACAGGGCGCGCATCTCCCGCAGGCCGGCGGCCACCGCGGCGACCCTCCGCCGAGGCCGCGGCGTGCCCCAGCGGACCAGGAGCCGAGGGGGCAGTTAGAGCCTCCGCGGACACCGCTTCCCCCTCAATTATCCAGCCCGGGAGAGGGGCCGCGAACAGCAGAAGCTGCTTTCCGCCAGGGAGTGGCGAAGCGGGGGAGGGGCGGTGTTTGCTGCAAGTGTTTAAGTTTATTGCTCGAATGATGTTTCTAATTAGCACCGCAGCGATAAATTAGAGTCGCCTTTGTTTAACTGATTTATTATTTACTAGAGCATCTACCTGAGACAGGGTAAATTGGTAATGAATTGTTTTTAAATCAAAACATTTGTAGGGTTTTATCATCCTTCCCTCGGTAGAGGCGGGGAGCCCGTGGGCACGGGTGCGGGCCGCGAGGGGACCGGCCGCGGCGGGCCGAGGCGGCGGCAGCTCGGGGACGGCCAGCGCCACGGGCAGCCCGGGCTCGGCGGGGCCTGTGGCCACGTGCGCGC